ACACCTGTATTACAGCTGTGCACACCTGTGTCACACCTGTATCACACCTGTGCACACCTGTGCCCCTCACCTGCCTGTCCAGCCTCCTGGCCCCGCCCGGGCCGTGCTCCCCTCCGTTCACACACCTGTATCACACCTTTAGCACACCTGTACCTCCCCTGTGCACACCTGTACCACACCTGTGCCCCTCACCTGCGTGTCCAGCCACCTGGCCCCGCCCGGGCCGTGCTCCACCCTCCCGTAGAACCTCACTGGGATCGTGTACTCGGGACGGGCCTTCTCCCAGGGGTTCCCGTAGCGCAGCCAATCGTCGGCTTCCTCCACCTGGGGGGACCCCGAAACCTGAGACCCCCCAACCTCTCCCTGAGGACCCACCAGGGACCCCCAAACCCCCCCGGTCATTGGCCTCCTCCCCCTGGGGGACCCCAAAACCCCTGAGACACCCCCCAACAGCCCCCAGGGACTCACCAGGACCCCCAAAGCCCCGTAGCCTCCCCCCGCCCCCCACGGCCCCCCCGCACCTGCCACCCCCCCGCGATTCGCTGGTTGAAGATCCCGAACTCGTAGCGGATCCCGTATCCGTAGGCAGCGAGTCCCAGGGTGGCCATGGAGTCCAGGAAACAGGCTGGGGGGACAGGGGGGGCAGGGGTCACTGGGGGAGTCATTGGGGGTCACTGGGGGGGTCAGGGACATTGGGTGTGGCAGGGCAGGTCACGGGGGTCCCAGGGTGGCCATGGAGTCCAGGAAACAGCCGGGGGGGGTCAGGAGGGCCACTGGGGGTCAGGGGGGTCATTCAGCATCACTGGGGGGGGTCCTGGGGGTCCCAGGGTGGCCTTGGAGTCCAGAAACAGGCTGGGAGGGCAGGCAGGGACAGGAACATCCCAGGAACAGGGAGCTCCCAGTGAGTGGGACCATCATGGGGACAGGGGTGTCACCAAGGGGGGGACACTGGGGACATCCCAGTGACTGGGGGGGAGCGGGGAGATCTCAGGATTCAGGTGTCACTTAGGGGGCTACAGTGGGCACATCCCAGGGCCATCGTGGGGACCAGGGACATCACAGGGTCCCTCCAGCCCCCCAGGATCCCCCCAGGGCCTCCCCAGTCCTCCCCTATAATCTCCCCCACCTGCCAGCCTCCCCAGGCCGCCGTTCCCCAGCCCCGCGTCCTCCTCGATCTCCTGCAGCTCCTCCATGTCCAGCCCCAGCTGGGAGGGAACGAGGGGGGTCAGGGGACACCTCAAAATACCCCCATGTCCCCTCTGTGTCCCGCTCCTCATCCCCCCCATCCTCCTCATTTCCCCTGCTTGTCCCCTCTGTGCCCCCCATCCTCCCCCCCAGCCCCCCAGCCCCTCCCATGTTCCCCCCAACCCCCTTTGTGTGTCCCCCCCGCCGTGTCCCCCCCATATTCCCCCGTGTCCCCCCCGTTCCCTCCCGCACCCCACAATCCCCCCCCGAATTCCCTCCCACGGTACCCCCAGGAACAGAACCTCATGGCAGTCACCGTGCAGCCCCCCCGGCCCCCTCCCCAGCCCCCCGGCTCCTCCCGCCCCCCACCTGGTACAGCATCTCATCGCAGCCGCTCTGCAGCGCCAGGTTCACCATCGTGTTGGTCAGAGTGCGCCCCATGTAGAACTCCAGGGACAGGTAATAGATGCGCTGGGGGGACACGGGGAGGGCAGGGGGTCACAGACTCCCCCCCGGCCCCGCGACACCCCCCCCGCCCCGCCACCTCCCCCCCCCGCTATCCGGTGTCGGGATTAAATGGCAGGCACGGGTCAGTGGGAAAGGTCAGGATAAAATTAACTGGGCGGGGGGGGGCGGTAGACCCAAAATGTACCCCGAAACCTGCACTCCCAAAGCTACAGCCCCTCCAGGCCTGAGAACCCCCAGACCTGCTCCCCCAGACGTGCACATGCCCCCCTCGCATACCCCCCCAACCTCCCCCCCCGGGTCTGCTCCCTCCAGACTCCCAGTGCCTTGGGGTCCTCCTCATAGGAACACTGCTGCTACTCCCCCAAGGACCCCCCAGATGCTTCCAGAATCTCCTTTCCCCTCACTTTGGGGTCCTTCTCACAGTAGCATTGTTACTACTCCCACAAGGACCCCCCCCCGATCCTTCCAGGCCCCCCCGAACGTCTCTAGATCCCCCCAGGGCCTCCCTTTCCCCCGCCTTGGGGTCCTTCTCATAGCAGTATTGCTGCCTGTGCAGCCCCCAGACCCCCCCAGGATGCCTCAGACTCCCCCCGACCTCCCCAGGACGCCTCTTTGCCCACCTTGGGGTCTTTCTCATGGTAGCACTCTTGGGTGCACAGTGCCCAGCGTCCTAAGACCTCCCTCAGAAGCCCCCCCAGTCCCCGCAGAACCACCCAGGACCTCTCTAGACCTCCCCCGGACCCCCTTTCCCCCACCTTGGGGTCCTTCTCGTAGTAGTACTGCTGTGTCCGCAGCCAGCGCCCCACCAGGTGGTCGCGCACGGTGTGGGCCAGAGCAAAGTAGTAATCGCGCGGTGTCGCGACATTGCGATCCTTGACGAGGGTGAAGTGCAGGTGCCGGTTGAAGTTGCGCTTCAGCTCCGCCACGTTCTCGGCCCCCGCCAGCCCCCGCACGCTGATCTGCCGCCGCCGGTCCTCGTCGGTCATCGGTCGCGACATGACGACAGTGATGGGGGGGATGTCGCCGCGGAGTCGGAGGGGCTTTGAGGGGTCCCTGGGCGTCAGGGGCTGGGGGGCTCCGGGGCCTGCGGAGCTCGGGGCACCGGGGTCGGGGGGCTCTGGGGAGGCTGCACCCGGCTGGGAGGTCCGGGGGGCTCCGGGTCTGGGGGGGTCTCCGGGCTGGAGGCGGCGGCAGCGGCGCCCCCGCCGCTATGAGCGCGCGGGTACTTCATTATTCATGAGGGGCGGGGCGAAGCTCTCAGGAGGCCACGCCCCCGCCCCGCCGTGCAGCGGCCCCGCTCATTAGTTATTCATGAGGGGCGGGGCCCCGAGCAGCGCCGCGCCCCGGCAGCGCCCCCTGGCGGCCCCGCCCCATTCACGGGTCCGTCATTTGCGGCGGCGGGTCAGACAGCGCCCCCTGGCGGCCGGGCCGGGTCCGAGCCCCCCGGCGACCACCCGGACCCCCCAAACCCGCCCGCGGGGTCCGGAGCGTCCGGGGCAGTCCCAAGGCTCCCGGTGGGTGTGCGTGTTTCCCCCACGGGGGCGTCCGCACCCGCTGCCCTCACCCCTCCCTCGCGTGCCGCCCTCCAAAACCGCCCGGGGGGGTCCCGCGTGTCCTGAGGGTCTCAGGATCCGCGTGTTCGCGACCCCGCGCGCCCCCGCCCCCGCCGCGGTAACCGGATCGTCACCCCGAAGGTCGCGACATTCAACATCGGCGGTGACCGACGTGTGACATTCGCGGGGACCGCGGCGGGTGAGTGACGGCCGCAGGGGGTGGGGGGGCCGCGACCCCCCCCGGCCCCGGCTCGGGTTTCACGGGCACCGGGGGGAGCAAATCGAAACCCGACCCTGGAGCGGGGGGTCCGGGGGGGAGGACGCGAGACACGAAGTGAGGGGGGGCCCAGCTGGGGGGTCCCGCTCCTTTATTCATACACAAAAGAAAGCACGGGAGGGTGAAGGGGGGCGGCTCTACAGCGGGGCGAGGGGGGGGCCCAGAACGAAGCGAGGGGGTGACACAGGACAGGAGAACCCCAAGATTCGGGGGGGGCTCAGGTGGGTGCCGCTGACCTCCCCACCGAACAGCACCCAAGTTACAGCCCCTGCCCCCCACCCCCGCAGTTCAGGGCCCCCCTGATTTGGGGGTATGGGGTGGGGGTCAAACCAGTTCACAAGGTGGTCCCGGGGGGAGGTTCGGGGGGGCCACTTGGAACAGCCAATGAGGGGGACAGGCCTCCCCAAAATCAATCAGTTCACGGTGGGTGAGAGCTCCCATGAGGGAACTCCCATGTGGGGGGCAGGGGGGCTCCCCACAATGGATCAGTCTGGGGGGTGCTCCCTATGGTCTTTTGGGGGGGCTTCCCGCAATATATCAGTCTGAGGGGGGGCTGCCCGTGGTCTTTTGGGGGCCTCCCCCCAGTGGATCAGTCCGGGGGGGCTCCTGCAGCGGCAGTGTCCGAGGCTCAGTTCTGGGGGGGCGGCGGGGGGGGCGCGGGGGGCATGCCGAAGGGGGGCAGGGCGGGCACCCCCATGCCCATCATGGTGACGAAGTTAGAAGGGTCCATGGGGGGGGGCGGCGGGGGGGGGGGGGGGCGCGTACATCAGGCCCCCGGAGCCAGGCGGCGGCGGGGGGGGCGGGGGGGCCCCGGGGGGCAGCGGGGGCTGCACCCCGGGGGGCAAAGGCACCATGGAGGGGCTGCCGGGGAGCGGGGGGGCCCCCGAAGAAGCCGCCCCCCCCCCCGCCGCACCCGCCCCCGCCTGCTGCTGCCAGGGCGGGAGGGAGGCGTTGCCAGCGCTCGTGGTGGTCGTCGTATCTGGGGGGGGAAAGGGCTCGTTAGCACCCGTGCTAATTAGCGGGACCCCAGAAAGAGCAAAATGAACGAGTCTCCCCGCCCCCAGGGGAAGGGGAAACGCCCCAAACCTGGGGGAAACGCCCCAAACCCCCTCGTGCCCCGCCCTCTCCCCCGGGGCCACCCTTCCCTCCCCACCCCACCCTGGAGCCCCCCAAAACCCTCAGGCCCCCCCTCAGCACTCACTTTGCTGCCAGGGCAAGGGGGTGCTGCTGCTGCTGGGGGGCGGCGGCGGCTGCTGCTGCCAGGGAGGGAGGGGGCCGGAGGGGGGGGGCGGCTGCCCACCGGGCGGGGGGGGCGGCGGGGGCAGCATACCCAGCGGCGGCGGCATCATACCTGGGGGGGCAGAAACTGGGGGCTCAGAGGGATTCTGGGGGTCAGAGGAGGGCGGGCGGGGGGCTCAGGGGTTGTGAGGGGGTCTCACCTTTTCCCTGGTGCAGGCGATAGACCCCAGAGCCCACCGGCGCATTTCCCAGGTACTGATCTTGAGGGAATGAGAGACCGTGGCCTTAGGGATGGGGGGGACCCCCCCCACCCCAAAAACACTCTTCCCAAAATTCTCCTCCACCCCCACCAAATGCCCCCTCCCTGAAAACCTCCCCAGGTTCGGATCCTGCACTGTGAAACCACTGCCTGGGGAAACGCCCTTTTCACCTCCAAAATCGTCCCTCCCCCACTTTCCAGCCTCACCCCCCAAAAAATCCTCCCCCCTCTCCAAAACCTTCCCAGGTTGAAGACGAACAAACCCCACATCTGAGGGGCTGCCCAAACTCCCTCCTTTTCACCCCTAAAGTCCTCCCAGCTCCCCCTCAAAATCCGTACCCCTCCACTCCCAAAATCTCCCCCCAAATCCCCCAGCCCCTCCCAAATTCTCACACCCCCTCTTCGAGAACTTTCCAGCTCCCCACCCTGGGGGAACCGCTGTGCCATTGGGGGGGTGCCAAACCCCCCTTTTCACACCAAAAAACCCTCCCCCCCCGCATTTGACCACCCAGCCCCCCCATTCCTCCCCCAAGCCCCCCCAGCCAGGATCGTCCGTACCCATGTGGTGGGGGCCGGGGTGCCCCGGGGGGTGGGGGCCCCCCCCCATGGGGGGGTGGTGGGGCTGCATCCAGGGGGGAGGCCCGTTTGGGGTGTGCTGCAGAGGGTGCCCCCCATGGCCCCCCCCCATGCTGGCCATGGGGTGGGGGAAGCTGTGGGGGCCCCCTGGCCCCCCTGGTCCCCCATGCAGCCCATGGTAGGGGCGGTTCTCCGAGGGCGCCGAGCTCATCCAGGGGGGGCGGCTCTGTGGGAAAAGGGGGGGTCACAGGGGTCTGGAGGTCTGACTTTTGGGGGGCTCTGAGGGGATGGAGCTCACCCAGGAGGGTGGCTCTGTGGGGGGAAAACGGGGGGTCACAGGGTCGGGGGGGACTCTAAAGGGGCAGAGCTCATTTGGGGGATGGTGGCTCTGTGGGGAGAAGGGGTTGGGGGACCAGGGGGTTTTGGGGGTCACTCACCGGGGGGGGCTGCCCCCCAGCCTGGCTGGCGGCGCGGTGGCTGCTGGACAAGGGGCTGTGGTTGGGGGGGTTGGGGGGGCTCAGGGCTGTCAGGGGGGTTCGGGGGCAGGTTTGGGAGTTCAGGGGGGGTCACTCACCGGGGGGGGCTGCCCCCCAGCCTGGCTGGCGGCGCGGTGGCTGCTGGACAAGGGGCTGTTGTTGTGGGCGGCGTTGGAGCTGACGGACACGGGGGCCTCGCCCAGCTCGGCCATGAGCGACAGGTACTCCTTGTCCATGCGCGCCTTGTCCTGCGCAGACTGCGGGTCCCCGGGCCTGCGACGGGACAGGGAGACCGGGGGCTGCACCCCAAACCCCTCCGGCTTTGGGGAGACCTCAGCGGCATCGGAGCATCCCAAGGGATTTTGAGGGGGACCTCGGGCAGGTAGGGAGGATCTCATGGGGGTTTCAGGGGCTTGGCAGAATCCCAGGGGGTTTGAGGGTGGATCTCAGGGGTTCTGCGGAGGGTTTGGGGAGATCTTGAGATATTCAGGGAACCTTGGGATTTGGGAAGAGTTTGGGGAGGTCTCAGGAGATTTAGGGAGCATTTGCAGAGAATTCAGGTGGTCTGGGGGGATTTCAGGTGAGTCAGAGAGGATCTCAAGGGCTTTAGGATGATCTCGGGGGGGGTTGGTGGTTTTCTGGGGTCTCAGCAGGGTTTGGGGGGATTTTAGGGAGATCTGAGGGTTTACTTTGGGGTCACCTGGCAAACTTGCAGTCGGAGGCGATGTGCCCAGCGCCGCCGCACTTGGTGCACACGGTGGTGTTGGTGATGCTGCGGGTCTCGGTGCTCTGCCACGGCCGCAGGATTCTGCAGGGGACAGGGAGGTTATGTGGGGGCTCGGGGGGTTATTTGGGGTGAACTGGGGGCGTGGGGCCCCCCTGACCTGTTGTCGTCCTCCCGCAGGGTCCCATTGAGCCGTGCCAGCTCCCTCAGCTGCATCTTGCGCAGGTCGTTCTGGTCCTCGGGGGTCTCGATGCCCTGCTTCAGGATGTTCCGGATCTGGGGGGCACAGGGAGCGTCAGGGGGGGCCTGCACTGCCGGGGGCCCCCCCAGCCCTCCCGGGACACCCACGGACCTGCTCCACAGCCTTCTTGACGTTCTCCATGGTGTTGGCAGTGACCAGGGCGTGCAGGGGCTCGTCCTCTCCCGGCAGCATCTGCCCGTCCTTGCGGCCCACCTTGCCCTCCTTCACCGAGCCCTTGCCCCGGATCATGATCTTGGCATTGCACTCCTTCTCGATGTTCTTCAGCGTGTTCCCCCTGGCAATCGGGCACCCAGAACAAGGGGGTCACGTATGGACTCGGGGGATACCCCACGGGTCCCCCACACCGGGACGCTGCAGCCCCTGCCCTGGGTCACGACTTTGGCATTATTCTCCATGTTCTTCAGCGTGTTCCCCTGGGAACGGGGATCCCAAAATGGGGGGGATGGAGCCCACGGGCCCATTGGGGTCCCCCCACCGGGGGACGGTGCAGACCCAGCAGCACAGGGCTCATTAGGAGCTCAAGCTCATTAAGAACACAGGGTATCATTACGCACCCTGCAAGTTATTTAGGGTGAGGAACGGGGCACAGCCCAGGAAGGGGGAGGGGAAGGGGGTCACCCACCTGAATATTTTGGGGGATACCGAGAGGGAACACAACCCAGACAGGGAAGGGGGTCACCCAGTCCAGTTGGATTGGGGGGGCACTTCACAAACCCACAGGGGCGCTTACATCAGGACCCCACAGG